AAACACATCTTCAAACTTTTTTCTCAATCCTCATAAGTAATAAATATGTCATTGTTTTGTCAAATCGCATTTGACACCAACGTCCAATAATATAACGGACAATAAAAAATATATACATACATAGCAATAGAATTATACATCTCAATACAAAATATAAAAATTGTATTATGAGCTAATTAGATTATCTACGTTTATATAGAAGTATAGAGATAACATATATACAAAATTCTAACCTCTAAAAGTTTAACAAAATTTACATAGTCTACTCCCACAACTAATCCACCTACAAGGAATATAAGCAAAATTCCTCAATATACTCATCAGAATCTACATCTCTCGAGAGGTTAGAATTGGGTGAGTTCCAATACTCAATATGACAAACATTATTAATGTCACACAAATATATTTTAAAAACATTCCTTAATGCAGAGTTAAATAAAAACAATGATATATCCAATGTTAATAAACCATAATTCTCATACTATACAATTTTTACAATAATAGTACAATTATCAAGAGACACTCAATATCGTATTCATTAGGTTTACATAACACACACACATGATTAGTCGCCTCTTTAAAGTATTATTACTGATTTTAAAGTGTAAATGCAGCCGTTTACTTTTATTTTTAAAGAGGACACCAAGTCACCGACTAATTAAAGGTGTGTGCAATCAATTAATTTACAATCTAGTGACGTAAAAAAATACATATAATCGCTCGGTTCTCTCTAGTTGCCATCCTAAAATTTTCAGTCCGGTTGCCATCATTCAAGTCCTTGAGCCCCCAGGACAATGAATAGTAATCAGTTTAGAGCCTTCGAGTATTAAACCCAATCTCACAACTAGAACCCAATACTACACACAAAAACATAGTGGTTCCTCTGTTAACCTCAATGTCCCTCCAAAAAAAATATAGTAAATTGGATTTAAACTAAAGTCTTTACTATTTAAATTTTAGACTCTTTAAGTTTCTTAATTTAATTTTCTAAATTTTATATTAATTTGTCCAAATAATTATTAAAGTTTTAAATTTAAGTTTCATTTAGATTTTTAAATAGATTTTATTTTATTCTTTTAACTTTAAATTTTTATTGTCCTCTATTTTTCTTATTTTAAATTATTTTATTTAGCTTAATTATTCTGAATTAATATTACTTTACCATTTCCTTTTAATTTCCAAAACCATACTAATCTTTCCCAAATTTATTCCAATTGTAACTTTTTAATTTAATTTTCCCAAAATTTATTAAATTGCAATTTCTTTCCCAAGGCCCATTCTGTTCAGATTCTATAGCCCAACAGATAAATTTCTCTTGCTAGACACATAGCCCAATGGGCTTCAGCGAAGACCCCTCAACATGTTTATGCCTATTAGGTTAGCATGACTCACTGCTCTGTTACATAGGGCAACTGGCCCATGGGGCATGAGTTGACATGTAGTGGCACACCCGTACATGTCCATGCGCGTAAATGCACACATGGTGCCAGAAACAGTGTGTCTGCACACTCACACAACTCTGCTAGCATTATAGGAACGGTTAACTGAGCCTTTCACCTACCTATGCAGCAAATGCTCAACAACTTTGTGCCAGGAATGTTTCCTTGTGCTTTTGAGTGCCCAGAGACCACCATCTTACGCGAGTTTACACGACCAAGTCACAGGTGCACATCAATTCGGCACATTAGTGCATAACATGCTTGACAAAAGCAATTTGGCTTCTCTCATCGTCCCCTATCCCCTTTTGTACCTAATCACCATTTGGTTCATCTGTCAATATTCATTCATTAATCATCAGCATTTAAAAATCATTCAAACACAATTAAAATATATCATTTAAATGCATTCATGTACCTGTTGGAGATAAGAGGAGGAGGCTATAGAGACTAATGAGAAGACTCAAGTTTTCCTATTGTAGTTCTTACAAAAAAACTTCAAGTACATGGTTATTTATAGGCACTATTACAACTATTAGAATTAATTGTAACCACCAACAAATATAATAAATATAATTTATGACCCATAACTACTACCAAATCAAAGGATATATAGAGACTATAATTTATGAAGTTCAACTACTAATAAACTAATTACTTATGTTCTAATTTGTAAATTAATTCTTAACATTCTTCCTTAATTTGTAAATCTCCTTTTCAATCTAAGATTAGTTTGTAGCTTTTGAAATACTTCAAACTTGAGCGGTTTGGTGAAAATATTCACCACTTGATCTTTAGTTTTTACGTGATTGAGCTCTATTTAATTTTTAGCAATGCAATCTTTAATAAAATGATATCTTGTGTCTATATGTTTGCTTCATTCATGAAATATTGGGTTATTAGCTAGTGCTTGTGCGGACTTATTGTCAATAAAAGTTTTATTAGCTTCGTTCTGTATTAAATAAAATCTTTTTCAATACTCTTCTAAGTCATATA